AGGTTGGTTGTGGCTATATCCTGACAGATTGTCTACCCACTGCTGCTAGTGTTGTACCATGACCTTATGTCCTGGACGCCTCCTCGTGGCGACCGCTGGGTGGGAATTGAGTCACGTCCTTATTCTAGCTAAGAGCCAGGACACCAATTCTTATGAGACCATGAACTGACCATGTGCTAGAACCGCTGCCTTTCTGGTGTGCATTTAATCGCAGGCTTTGGCTTATTACCCGGGTCATTCACCTGTCCGGTGTGGGCGCCCTGCCAGTATCCTTGTCCATATTCTTCGGAGGTTAGGAAGTGGTCGATGGCCCTCTTCCCGTAAAAGCTAACCATGGAAGATAACAAGTCCAGGGATTATAGGTGAACCGCTTGATTGGCAAAGAGCACGAGTGCCAAGCATTGTCTCTGACGGTCGGAGGGACCTTCCGGTTGATTAATAGTTTGCTGCTGTCCCCCTCAAGGCAGGCAGTTTCAGGTCAATTTGGTGTAAACCCGCCAAAACCCCCTGTGCCTGGCCGTGGTGGCAGGTGCGTAACTTACTACGGTCGCAAAACACAAATGAATTGTTCCACAAATTCAAAGGCTGGGTGTCACGGACCCCAAGCAGATCCCAATATATCTCCGCAAGCACATTCCCCAGTTGGATCTGCTAGCCATTGCCTTGTGGGTCCGACCCTTTAGTCAAAGGCTCCGGGCGGAGTACCTCTAGCAAACCTCCAAATCGCCCACTCTCTCGTGGGTCAGGTTATTAAGCCAAAGGTTTCGGGTGGAGTCCCTCAAACAAATCTCCGAAGCACAACCATCACCATGCGTGCGATTGCCCCCCCCCCAAAGCATCCTAAGCCTGCGCACAAACCACTCAGCATCGCGTGTCCTTATGTGCGAGCACCACTGGACCGGAACTCGAGTGAACGCTTCGAGCGACGCACTGCACTGGTCGCAATGGAAATGGCGCGCTACAACATCGGTATTGCGGCGCTGAGCGAGACTCGGCTCGCTCAGTAAAGTAACTAGCACGAATGTGGTACTGGCTATACGTTCTACTGGGTGGGAAACGCCACTTCAGCACCACATGAACATGGGGCCGGATTTGCAATATCCGATCGCCTCAATGACCAGCTGGTGGGTGAGCCGACTGGCATCAGCGCGCTACTGATGACCGTTCGCCTGCGACTCGGAAGAGGCAAGTTTGCCACATATGTCAGCAAGCACGATCCGAACACGCGTTATGCTTGTGACACGTGTGATCAATTCTACACTCAGCTATCCTCCATGGTAGGGTCTGTGCCGTGGAGCGACCGACTATTTCTTCAGGGTAATTTTAAGACGCGCGTTGGGCGTGATGCATCGGTGTGGACCGATGTTTTCTCTCCGCATGACATTGGTTCAGAGAATGTGCACGGTGACCGGCTGCTTTCACTGGGTGCCACTCATGGCCTGACGATCAAGAATACTCTGTTTGCGCTGAATGCGAGTGATATAGCAACTTGGACGCATCTACGGAGTGGTCAGGCTCACCTGCTCGAATATGTCATCGTACGTCAGCGTGAAATGGGTGAAGTGCGCATGACACTTGTACTGCGTGGAGCTGAGTGTGGCGCTGATCACAAATTGGTGCGGACCAAACTGTACACATATTTTCGTAAATCTTTGTATTGCACTCTCCCCGTGATTTGGCGTATATTTAACATTCACTTCTTCGTTACTGTGGTGAGACTTATTGAGCTGGGCAAAGCGATGGCTGCACGCTTGCGTGATCTGGAATGCAAAGCCACATTGGGCGACCTGTGGCACAACATTCGCGACCAGGTGACTGCTGCTACCGAGGAGACCATCGGGAGCGCAAACTGTAAGCGGCCTGATTGGCTCCATGCGAACAATGCGATGTTTGGCGCATTGGTGTGTGAGAAGAATGCAGAATTTGCTGCAAATGTGGCAGATCCCAGTAACTTGGGGAAGAATAGTCATTTTCGCAAACTTCGACAGTGACTGACCCGAGAGCTCCGTCGCAGTAAAAATGTATGAAGGACGGGGATGGCCAAGAAGATGGAATACCACGCCGAATGCCGCCAACACAATGCATTATTTAACCCCTTGAAAGTGGTGTATGAACCCAGGTTGCAGTCACTGAGGACGCTGATCTTTAGTGGTTCAGGCGCTGCCTAAATACAGACTGCAGACATAATGCAGATCACGTGAACAGGCTACAATCGTCCCTTGAACAACCTTTCAGAGATTGACTGGACTATACTAAACGGCCTGAAACAGCATGAGATGAAGGTGAGTCTGGCGAACACGCCGACACACCATGAGATGCAGAGAGCACTTGCTCAGCTGCGAAGCGATAACTGTGTCGGTGCCGACGGGATCCCGCCCGTAGTAGTGAAAGGCAGCAGACCTGTGTTGGTGACTGTGCAACACCAGTTGGTGCAACGGTTGCGGATTGAAGGTGGGGTTTATCCCGAGCTGAATGATGCCCTTGTGCTACCACTGTACAAGGGCAAAGGGAGCAAGCAATGTTGCACGAATTATCATGGTATCAACTTGCTGAGTTGTGTGGGCAAGGTAATTGCCAGTATCCTACTCAACCATCTCGTCAGTCTGGTTCTGGAACATAAAGTGGTGGATGAGCAATGTGGATATCGTTCGGGTCGCAGCATTATCGAAATGGTGTCGGCGGCTCGTCATTTGCATGATATATGCAGAGAACGACACCAGCCTTAGTAATCGCTTTTTGGTGATTTCACCAAGGCATTTGATACGATGAACTGCGAGGCATTTTCACTGATGTTGGGTAAGTTTGGTTACCCGCGTATGTTTGTAAGTCTAATTGTATGTCTGCACAGTGGTATGCGGGCGAGGGTGCCTCTGAGTGAAGAGATCTAGGATGAATTTGCAGTTGTCTCTGGTGTGATGCAAGGCTATGTCTTAGCTCCTGCCCTGTCTAATATTTATCGTCATGCAATGATATGCGTTTGGTGCGGCTTGTGTTTACGGTGTTCGTGTGGAACACCGTATTGATGGTGGATTGCTGAACATTAGTCGTTTCAGTGCAAGAACCATAGTCTGTGAGACAGCCATCCGTATGCTGCTGTTCGCTAACGACTATGCATTGTTTGCACGCAGCGCGGATGAGTTGCAGCAATTGAATAGTGCTCTGACTTCGACAGCGGCCAAATTCGGGCACAACATCGACACAAACAAAACTGTCAGTCCCTTTCAGCCCTCACCGGAACTGCAATCTTCAATATTGCCGCAAATCAGCATTGTTGCCGAAGTATTGGAAACCACCTCCCGTTTCAGCTACCTTGGGAGTGTGGTTACAACTAACCAGCAAATCTACTGGTAGCTGCATATCCGCGTTTCCATGACAGCGACGGCATTTGGAATGCTTGAGCACCGAGTGTGGAACAGCCCTCAGATTACCGTTCGCACGAAGCTGATGGTGTGCAAATCCATGGACGATGTACCGGCGGGAGGTGCGATATTTCGAGCAGCTCCATCAGCAGTGTTTGCGACTAATTCTGCGCATCAGTTAGTGCGACAGAGCTGCGGTGGAGTGCATATTATTGTTGAGACATTTGTGGTGGCTCGCTTATTTGTGACGTATGGATTCGGCGTGGATAATGAAGCAGCTGAATGTGGGAAAGTGGCACGTGGGGAAACCGAAGCTTCGTTAGCAGGACATGATCAAGCTGAGCCTATCACTTTCTTCTGCTTTTTGCAGGTCATGAGAATCGAAAGCCGTTGGTTGGTGTGTATTATGCGATCTGATCACAAAGGTCCTTGCCGAGGTGCAAGAGAAAGCCCTCAGGCATGCACAGAAGAAGCGGCAAGTGCGGAAGCGACAGTCGCCGATGGGTTGTACTCCATCGAGTACATGGTGCTGTAGCAACTACGGTCGCGAGTGCCTGAGTCAGGCAGGCCTAGTGAGCCACCAGTGAGGTCACTGGGGACCAATATCCAAACGACGACGGACCCTGCAGAGAAAGTAGACTGAACCGGCGCAACGTCGGTAGGTCAGCTGCGTTCGTTTTACTGAACGCGTGCTTGCGTGCGGGGTTTCCTTGTTTCATGTGGTGGGTTTTGTTATCCTGTCTCAATGCATGTTCTTTTTACCTCATCTTAACGCTTACCTGAACTTGTTTATATTGCTCAAGCTAATTGTGTTTAAGTTTGCTAACATTTTGACGTTTGTGGCATTTTTTATAATATACTTTTTGACATCTTGCACTTTCTGCGCATTTGTTGATAAACAAGTTATTACATATGCTCATACAGCCTAGATTTAGCTCAGCACTTTCGTGTCGATTCGTTATATATTATTATTATTCCCATTTCAAGTGATTGGCTGTTGTTTGACATCCCCGGTGTGGCTGCGCTTGATATGCAGGTTGAAAAGGTGCCTACCTGTCTATTACCCATTACCTCGTCTATACTGGCTCCAGTCCACAGTTGGTCGTTGCTCGAGGAGTCGGGGTGCACGGTCCCAGAGACCGTGCTACGCTCGAAGAGTGGTTCCATGCACTCATTGTGGAGCGGACTACGGTCCAGCCACAGCCATGTGTGCCCTTGATTTCCAAATACAGTGCGCTGATGTTTGTCTGTGAAGTGGTGTGGGCCGGCTCCGTTGATGAAACGTGGCTCCCATCTGCATGCCTCCCGGTCTTATTCCTTTGGGTTTACACTTGATATGCGTGTGTGGATGGAGCTGTGGGGGGTGTAGCTCAAGCCATCCATGGTACCTCTGTAGGCGCGAACGTCGTTTGGCTGGCCACAGTGACATACAAATACGAAATCGGATGCCGCTTACCGTATTCTCCACACCATTGGAACATCCAGCTGACAGTTGGTTTGTGCAGCTGACCCGTTCGCAATTGGTTCATAATCGCTAAGCTTCTATTCACGCTTACTGCTGTCCAGTAACTTCGTGTGATTGGCCGCTCTAGTGTTGCGGACCAATTGCATGCGGGCGTTGCAGTACTGAAATTAGTCACTTAACTAATGGTTTCGAGAAGGGAATTAATCTGTAAGGATGAGCACCAACAAGTGAGTTGTTACCTCAACTACATCTCGTTTATTTGCATTATTCGCTGTCCAACTACTTAATGTCATATTCGATAGCTGCCAACATCGATATTGAATGCACGATTAAAACAAATTAAACATTTCCATGAATAATATGGTTAAGGCATCAAGGTGTTACCGCCTCTTTATACCTCTTATCTTTATGTAAATCAGCATTGATTTATATTTATAGTGGAGAATTAAATAAGCTAATTAGAATTAATTGCTGGGAAGTCCTTTCGCAAAACATCGGCGTGGAGAAAACCACTGCACGATAAGTTTGTCTTTTCGGGAATCGCTATTAAAGCGCATCCCGTCGACTCTGAATGGGAATGTATGGTCTTCCCAAAGTTTTGCTGGCAGAGGCAAAACGATTTGACGCACAGTAGGCGCCACTATCTAGAGTGTCTAAGCACCCGTTTGGAGTACAAAGTGGCTCGCTGTCAACTTCTTTGTGCAGAATACAAAGTAACTTATTCAGTCATGGTTTTCTGAGTCTAAGCCACCAGATAACTTATGTTACCGTGAAAAGATTTGGCAGAGTACTGTTTGTAAACGTATAGTAAGGGAGATATCATTTGTGTGTGTGGATATTATCGCAATCAAACCCCTCTAACAGTCAACGACACCCGAAATAGTTCCACATAATTGTTTCGTCGTTTTAGGCGTCGTTAGCAGTGCAGATTCGTGATACCAAGCGATAGCCACTCCCTGATACTAAACATCGGGTTACAACTTCGAGTTCCGTATGGGGCCAGGATTATCCGTTCTGCTGGCTAGAAAGGATAGAACGCAAAGGTGGTCCATTGTTTTCTGAACAATTACTAGAGGTCTGGTTGAGTTACTTTGTGATCGAATATATTCAACCGGTCAAGGCAAAGGAAAAATTATAGAGTATGAATAACTGCACGGAAAGCGCCGCGTATTATTCGTAGTGGAGGATTATCCGTTGGAGATTGCAGCACCGCTGCAACCCTAGAGAGTGCCGTGAAATCTTTGGCTTTGCCGCAAACTTCGTCCAGATGGACAATTTTGTCCATGAAAACGGTCTGTGCCACAGCAAGTTAGCATAATTGTAACTCGGCACCTAGAGTAACTTCCAGTTACGCTTATTCCACACTACGCTAGCTCTGAGTGAACCCATTTATATTTGACGATTTACACTGATGTTTACTTTTACTTCAACCATCCTACGGGACTTGTAAAGCAATTGCTTTTTTACCTGTAATATATCACTGTTCATTGTTCATTACATTCGCTCAGTTCTGTTACTTCTCTGCACAGCCTCTGTTTAGTTTACATGTTTATTCAAAGTTCTGAGCTTTTCGGTTGATATCCTCCAATTACACTTGCTCAAGCCACAGTTACTCCGAATGAGAATTAGTACACATTGTTATTTGCTCTGTTTTGTTGTACTGCTCGGTTATACTGTCCAGTTTGTGTATATGTTCTCTTTCAAGTTCAAGATCAAGTGGAACTGGAACAGTAGGATAAATTCCCGTGGATGTTCCTTCCGTGTCGTGTCGTGGATCCAGGGTATTATGCGTCCGCGATAACTGGAATCCAGATGAGTCAGATCAGTACGTGCGAATCACATCGCAATCAAACAATTAGTACTCAGGCGACGTGCGTTGGCAGTCTTCGCCGCACCGGTCAAGAGGAGTAAGAAACAGAAGTACGAACGTAATAAGGGCTTTAAGAACCAAAAACCAATAGATTTCAAAATTCAATAAGGCGAATAAGCTAAGCTGTGATGGGGAAAGTTAAGAACTAAAAGGCCAAGAGCGCCGAGTCCGTGTTCGAACCCTTCCACCGTTGGTGCCAATACCACGTTCTCGAGCAGTGTATTCCAAGAATCCACCACTCAGCGTGATAAACGATAGTCCTTCAGGACTGCATCCGATCGAGGTTTGTGTACTTTCCTCGAGTGACCTCGGAGAGATGGAAGCCCAGGAGGTTGGAAAACCCAAGTAAACTGGATCCGATTTTATGCAACAGGTCAAGAAAAGGCGAGTGCAAAAATAGCGCAAGTAGTCTTTCTGGGTAAGAAACGTTCCGTAGTCCATGTACCATTTTGGTTCCAACTCTTAACGTCAATGACACCCAGTTGCTGACTACGCAACGTGTACAAGCCTGGATGCAGTTTTCCAAATGTGGCCTCATAAAGGTTGAGCATAACATAACAAACATATCGTCCGTGATGGTCCCGAATGCCCTGTGAATTAACCCCAACATTCTGAGACCTTTGTACGTAGACTTCCTCCAGTTCTCACTGGATTTAAGTTCAGAAGACAACGTGACCCCTAGGTCTATCGGCTGGGAAGCATGGGTAGTTCATTACCGCCAAGCAGGTAACGCGTTTGGGGGCCATTTAGTCCTAAACGTCAAACGGAACACTTTGTATAATTTATGGGCAACTACCACAGAGCAGTGCAGTCTCAAAATTTATCGAGGGCCCGTTGCGCAGTCTCGGGTCCACAGAGGTCGGACACTGTGGGCCAAAACATTAGGTCATCTGCAAAGTTGAGAGATGGTAGCCACAGCAGTTCGGTCAGCTAATTGAGATATAGAGCAAATGATGGTGGACCAAGCACCGAACACCGCGGGACCCCACTGATGACTGCCTGAAGGAAACACAGCCTATGCCCCATACGAACACACATCTCTCTCTCTTCCAGAAATGCGATGATCCATTTTAGTGCACGCCCTCGTATTCCATAAGACCAAAGCTTTAAGGTGAGACGAGAATGTGGTACAATATCGAACGCTTTGAAAAGTTAATATACAGTACGTCTACTGCAAGCCGGATTTCGTCCAGGCCGCGGCGGCATCGACCAAATCTTCACTCTCCGCCAACTTCTCGAACTCCGTCACATCCACCGGCGGCTAACAATCGTTATGTTCTTGGACATCCGAGCGGTATTTGATTCAGTAGATACATCTGCGTTGTGGAACTGTTTACTGAAGAAAGGGGTGCCCGACAACTCTATAGCCATCCGGAAAGTACTTTGCAACCATACCTCGGCTCGCTGTCTTCTTCATTTGCTGTGACCAGCAGTGCTTGCCAGAGTTTCTCTATTTCACCTCTCCTTTTCAATTTTGTCATTGAAGATGTCGTCCCGGAAGCACTGGAAGGTGTCCAGAACTGCGGTATTGAGCTCCTCCCTGGAGACAGAGTCACGGAATTGGACTACGCCCATGATATTGCCTTGCTAGGGAATGACCCATGAACCGTCCAGAGGGCTTTGGACCGCTTAGCGATGGATGCGTCTACGTACGGCTCATACTTCACTCCGAGAAAATGGGAAAAGCTGCTCCAGCACTGGTAGGTGCCTGAACCCGCGCTCACCATCGCTGGACATGTCCTGGAGCAAGCCCTATTATTTACTTATCTAGAGAGCTGCATAACGGCTGGTGGCGGTGTTAGAGATGAAGTCTCAAAATGGATTGCAAAAGCCCGCCTTGCATTTATCAAACTGGGACACCTATGGTTTAGTCGTGATTTCACTCTCAAGCTCAAGTGCAGTGTGTATAATGCTTTCGTCCGTGCAGTACTCTTGTACGACTGTGGGACTTGGACTCTTCACTCGGAAGACATGAAGCGGCTGTCAGTCTTCGACAGTCGCTGTCTACAAAGGATTGCTCGGGTGTGGTGGCAACACCACGCAAGTAACGGAGAGGTCCGAGACCGAGTGCTTGGAAGGAGTAGTGCGGGTCTTCAGAACGTTATTCTCCAACATCGCATGCATTGGCTCGGACACGTTTTGCACATGTCACCCCATCCACTTCCACGTCGAGCGTTATTTACACTCCAGGGAGCGATTGGAAAAGGTGCCACCGTGGACAACCAACGATGTGGCAAAGGAGCATGAAGGTAATCTCGAATTAGTCCGCAGTCGGACCAGTCCGTCTTCCAGGTTGGGGGCCACAAGACGCTGAATCACAGTAGTTGGTAATATTGCATATTATGGCCCGCAATAGACATCAGTAGTGTCAATGTTGTTCTGCCATTTAATTCCGCCTTTAATACACATAAAAACGCACGAAACAAAACAAAACTTACAAAATGGCGTGTGTAAAACCAAAGAAATCTTTTTCATTTTAATCGCGTTTCGTGTTTCAGTTTCCTTAATTATTTCGCGATGTTTCTGATGGCATGTCTGTTAACAGACAGTATATCCATATACATATGTATATATATATATATAAATATAAATATATATATATATATATATATATATATAGCATGACCCCGATCTAATGCATCCGCCCAACATTCGCGTACAACTAGCAGCAGACACTTGCGCAAACCGTGCTGAATCGGAGTGAGCAGACCAAACTCCCTCAGATGGTTTTCAATCACAACGCTAACCAACTTTTTCAATAACTTGACCAGTACGCTGGTCAAAGTTACCGGTCTATAATTGGCAAGGAAGTTCTTGTCGCTATGTGTACAAATCGGGCAGACGATAGCATCCTTCCAGACCTTGGGAAAGGAGCATCTGCGAAGCGACTAGTGCAACAAACGTGTACTTGAGCCACATAGATCGTTTGCGAGTTTGTTCAAAACTTTCATCCATCCCAGCGGATTTAGCATGATTTAGTCCCTGAAGAATATGTAGAACTTGTACCTCCGAAATAGAGAAGTCAGTTAAACAGGAGTCCTGTGGGATTCTCATCGCAAGTCAACATACGGTAACTGTTGTTTGATATCCCCGGTGTGGCTGCGCTTGATGTGAATGCTGTCACAGCGACTACCGGTCGAAGATGCGCTACTTGGATTATACTGGCTCCAGGCGACAGTTGGTCGTTGCTTGGGGAGATGGGAGTGCACGATCATTGTGGCCTTGCTGGGCTCTAAGAATGGTTCTACCCAGTGTGAAACAGACAAGAGCCCGCCTTTTTGTGTATACGTCTGGTACGCACGATTCACCACACAGACAATAATGTTGCTACTACACATGTTGAACGAGTGTGGGCCA